TGAGCTTCAGAAGTTTAATATTCTTCATCAATATCTTTCCAGAAATCTTTTATTAAGAACTTTGCTATAAAAGTGCTTATTGTGTAAGGATTTTGAATCAAGTTTCAATTATACTTCTATTAAGAGACGACAGTATATTGTATTTGACTTATCTTTTAATAACACATTTCTTAATTGTTAACATAAAATATGAAGTGTTTAAGCTATTATGAGAACAAAACAACATTTTTTAAAGTTTCATTGTTTATATTATATTTCTTAAAAGCTGCTTTTTCCTTCTTGACTGTCAAAGCTGTGCCTTTGGTTTTCCTGATAACCTTTTCTATTTTACTTATCTGTTAATTATAAATCTTTTACTAGTTCAGCTAAAAAATTTAACATATTTACGTTCGAAGTTACGAATTTTTAAATTAAAAAAAATTAATCCCAAAATCGGAATTTAAAATTGAAAATTTAGTTTCTAATCCAAGATGCTTGGTATTAAAAATTTAGTTTTCAATGCAAGCTATTTGGGATTAAAAATTAAAAATTGAAAATTTTTTTTATTATTTAATATAAAATTTTAATTAAACATTTTGTTTATTTTTTAATATAAAAATTTAATATTATTAATCCCATAATCAGAATTAAAAATAGCTAAATTGAAATCGTTTAAATGTGTAAGTTTGCCGACCAGTGCATGATGGCTCGGTACGAGCTCTAGTTCAAAATGGTGGAACATGTTTGGAATTTTTTTTTTCCAAATCGGATTAAAAATAAAGAACAAATTTTAACACATTAAAAAAAAATTGTGGTGGCTGTCATTACAATTTTTTTTCAATGCGGTGTTTTGAATTAAACAATTTAAAAATTATTTTCAGTTAAGGTTTCGCTGTTAAAAAAAAATAATTCAAACGTTAATTCAATTATATTTTTAATGCATTATTTGCAATCTTGCTTAGGTCGTTATTTTTAGAGTTTAATTGAATTGTTGCAATTAGTTTCCCCATAAGAACTTATTTACAGTCCTGATGTGTCAAAATGTATACATATAATATAAGATGTATTTTAAAAAGTAAATACTTTCTTGGAAATTTAACGCATTTTATGCAATCTTAATTAGTTTAGCTTTAAGTTTAATCATATGTAGTAAACTTGCCACAGATTTGCTCTAAAACTAACAAATGTCTAAAGATTATTTTAATATATTCTATGATCCACTTATATTCCGTTATTTAATCAATTTCAACATAGCTCAAATTTATAGCTCTCAAGCATTTGGTCAGCAGCTCAGCTAGAAGCTGATCACTATTTTATAAACATTTTTCAATTCAATAAAATTAGTTCAAGGAAACATAGTAAATTTCGCAAATTTCGTTCCAATATTGCAATAAAATTTTTTACTTTGTAAAAGATTTGTAAATTATCAGCCAAAACGACTTAGGGTCACTTTTGACTTTCATACGAAAGAAAAAAGTCGAAAAAAAAATTCCATTCCTAATCAATGTCAAGCAATTGTAAGTGCTGAGGCGGACATTCTTTATTATAATTAATTTTTAATGTCAGCAGCTGATGAAATCGATATGCGCTAGCACGTATGTATGTAAACTTACTAGCTTGCTAGCATGAATAGAGCGTACGAGCCTGTCAATGGTGATCTTTAGCACTCTATCGGTTCAATCAGTATGGCATTCAAATTGATAGCATTATCATATTCATGTAATTAATCACGCATTTAGTTATATATACAAATTCAAAAACATATATATTATATATATGTACATATGCCTAAGCATGCGAGTATGCGCGCATTTATTGCCGCGTGCCAGAAACACGTACGAATGTGTATTTAATTGTAATGATAACAATTTGTTGAAAGCATCAGCAACCAAATGTCACGACGTGATCTACGTGAGATCATTGATCTAATTGCTCATTCGTTAATTGAAATAATGATTGCACAAAAATTATTACCCGCGCGCAGTAAACTCTATTATTTTGCTTTTTGTTTGTAGGCGCCACATTTGGCATTCCTGATCTTGGGAATTTCATTGTGGTGAATCGGCGCGCTAAATTTAGATAAATTACTGGGGCGCCGGGAATATTCTTGAATGCAACAGCTGCGCTGCGGCTTGAGTAAAAATAGCACAAAAACGTGTCTGACTGTGTTAGCGCCACGAATTGCAAATTCTTGCGGGCGATGTAATTAAAGCAGCGATCACTTCTTGTATTCAGTTTTTGTTGTTGCACCTTTTCTTCCGCTCCGCGCTCAAGGTATATGTGCTATGTAATTTTGCCAACGCTTGCATAAATAGCGTATACTACATTATTTTTTTTGCTGCATTGCGAAGCCGTCGTCCACGCGCAGTGACGCGTAGTAATGCGAGTCGTTGAATGGGTTGGCTTGCGACCCAAACGTAATCACGATCGTCTGGCTGACGTACGAGATTTGATTTCTTACAATGCGCACACACACATGCCTGCGCGCGTTCATGCATTTTATATGACTTTGTCGTATGCTATACTACTTATAGATACACAGCCGAAATGTGTGCGCGGCGCGTGTGTGTGGCAAATGTTTGACGATCTCTTTTGGTCACTATCTGCTTGGCCGCCAGCTAAGCGCATACGTTTGTATGTGTGTGCGCCTCTAAATTACAAGCAATGTCTGCAGCGCGGTATACGCGCATACTTGATATTTCAATGTTTGGGCCAAGCGCTCACGCTCAGCGCGTTGTGCTTTGTAAGCTGATGCAATTTCATTAGTAATTTCATGACGAAAGGTAATCGCTCTCTGTCTGCATAGTGCAAGCTTGTATATTTTTTGCATAAACACACATTCACGTGTGCACAAAAAAGTGTAGAAGGCAATTTATGCATACATACGAGGATACTTACATACTTACACGCAGACAAACTTACACACAAACACATATGCATAAACAGTTTTTAGTGTGTAGTTTGTGAATGTCTCAAGTAGCCGGTGGGCTGAGCGATAAAGGGCGGTTACGCGGTGTGGGGTGTATAGCGTTCGCCCAATTGCTTTGTAGCTGTAAGCAAAGTGATTGCTTTGATCACTTATTAGTGACGCCGCTGCTAGTGCTGCTGCTGCTGCTGCCGCCAGAGCGTTCCGTAGTTTATTAATAAATCTAGTACGCTCGTTAGTCTGTCACTTCATTCATCAAATGTGTCGCAAGGTGGCAAAACGCGTGTCGCTGCGGTGTCTATTTAAAAAGCTATAAATCACAAAGTCGAAACGCGTTGAAACGGATTGCTTAACAATTAGCAACAAATTGCAACTGTTTGGAGGAAGTAAATTCTAAAGTATTTCAAGTACCAAAAATGCAGATAAGCTTGTAGCTCCTCAAAGGTATACAATAAGTGCACTCAGGTAGTTTATAGATGAAGCAATAATGCTTTACATTAAATATGAGGAAATGTATGCGCGACAATCGACTTTCAAGTATTAGTTAAAAATATATACACACCTAAAAATTTTGCTTAAAATTTTTTCGAGAAATTACGCAGCTAATTTATTTTAAAAAGAATTGCTGCCATGCACTACTACGCTCCGAAAAATTAAGCGAAATGTGTGCTGAATATGAGCTGATAGTATTCTAATCATACGTGTGATCGATATGCGAGCGTTTAATTTATTAAATGCGCACTAACTGGTTTGGTGATGATACTTTGAGTATATTTTGAAACAAATGTGAAAAATTACGTTTACTTAAAAAATTTAATAAAATCAGGACTAATACAAAAAGAAAAAAAATTAAAGAAATTTAAATTATATAAAATATTATTATAAAAATTATTAAAAAATTAATCAAAAAAGTTCATAAGAAACGAAAAATTAAAAGTTATCAGAAAAATATTACAGAAAAACTTCATAAAAAATAAAAAATAAAATGTTATAAGATAATTCCTTAAACTTATTATAAAAAATATATATAAATAAATTAAGAACAGAAAATATATATACCGATAATAGATATAAAAAAATAAAAAAAATAAATATTTTAAAAACACAAAAAAAATTATTAAATAATTTTTAAATGGGATAAAATTGTAAACAATATTGAAAAAATTATTCAAATAAAGTTAATAAGAACTAATAAAAAGACAAAGTTATAAATAAATCCTGTAGCAATATAACATATATAAATAATTATTTTAAGTGATTAAAAATAAATATATATGAAAAAATGACAAAATTATGAAAAAAATAAAAAATATTTAACAGATTTCCGAAAAAGTAAATAGGAAATGAAATAAGGCAATATTATGAAAAAAACTATAGAAAAACTTCCTAAGAATATATAAAATACAATTTTATAAGATAATTTCTTAAATTGCTTTTTAAAATATATAAATAATTTTGGAAAACAGAATTGAAAAAAATCATGAGAAATTATTAAAAAATATTCAGTGCGAAAAAGAAAATACTAAGAAATAGTTTTGAACAGTAATAAAGTACCAACAAAAATTTTTAGAATCCTTTTTTGCATAAAACAAAATTTTAGTAGTGAACTAAGTTAAATAATGGTTATTAAATTTTTTTTTGAACATTTCTTCTAGAAATTTGCATTTTTATCGTTATTAATATATAAAAAATATTGCAATAAAAAAAATCAAATACATTTTTCTCCGGAATTTTTATGCAAATTACATTTCTGTATTCACAGAATTGATAATAGATTGAACTCGCGACGAATTTAGTGACTGTTGGCGCCATTGGCGTCAAAGCGCTTTTTTGTATGCCAATAACGAAGCGGTGTCTAGTGTCGAATACCAATAACGTTACTATAACATTACAATTGCGAATATACTTTAAAGAGTAAAAATAAATACTCGACAGCTATGTATATGAGTACACATTTATTTCTGACACTCACTGTACTGCGAAGAAATGTTAATTATTGCAAATATTTAACAAATTAAAATAAATGAAATTTTTAATATTTTTATATAAAAAGTGTGCTTTTTAATAACCAATTATCTGCTTCCTCTCTTTACAGGCGCAATTTCATGACACATAAAAATTTTCAAAGCCCACAAAGTGAAAAATCTCAGTGCTTATAAATATATCTAAATGAATTTGCTTTAAAAAGTGCTAAACATATAAAAACAACAAAAGCAACAGCTTAAAACAAAACTATAGTGTAAACCACCTCTATGTTTTTAAAGCAACAACGGACTAAAGTGGGATTTTTAATGTTACCAAAAAGATAGTAAATTAGTGAACATACAATAACAAAGCATAAATAGCTATCAAACCAAGTGAATACTAACGGTAAATAAGTGATTTAGACTACGAAAATTTCAAACACCAAAGCAAACGCCGCCAACGCACACCGTCCAACCTAAAAAGCACAGCCATGGCCAAATGTTTTATCCTATTCATACTGATCGCCTTCGTCGTGCTCGATCACAGCATTATCTATGGACGTTATCATAGTGACACACACGGTCCAAGCGACACTGACAGCCGGCAAGCGATTGCGCAACACATGCGTCCAGCACAACACCACAACCACCGCCAAATACTGCCGGCACACACATTGCCACACATAGACAAGCGTACGCCGCATGTGAAGAACAATCGGCCGCGTGTTGCTAAGGCGCGACGCATACGACAGTCGTCGTGGCAAGAGAATGTGCCGCTAGATAGTATAAGTAGCGCAGAGCGACGTGCGGAACGCGAAGAAGCCGAAGCGGCGCTGCAACGCTACGTGCACATACAGCGTCACATGGCGCATCAGCAGGAGCATCTGCGTCATCACCAAGAAGAATACGGCCATAACGTAAAGCAAACGCTGAGACGCTCGCAAGAGTGGCAGTCCGAAGAGCAGCAACAGCAGCGCGGCGAAGTGCCGCTGTATCCATTCAATATGCGCATGCCACGTATTTGGCAGCACTTAGGCGGCACCGCGGATGTAATGCTCGGTGATGCGCCGAATTCTGACAGTGTGGAGTCGCAACGTTTCGATGTGTCGCTGCCGCTGGCCGAGAACACAGGCGATTCTGATGAGCTTGATGATTTGTTGGCGCCTACGGTGGAAGCAGAGCAGAGCAATTCGCTGGAATCGTCGGAGTCAGTAGAGAGAGAGCAAAGCTCAGAGGCTGTAAAGCAAAAAGAACGCAGCGGCAAGACGGATTGCCCGAAATGTGAGAGCAGTCGGCGCGTCCAACACATTAGCGAGGAGGAGCTGACACTGCTGCGCATCGAGTATGTGAAACAACAGATCTTGGAGAAGCTGCGACTGAAAGAGCGTCCCAATGTGTCGGCGGTCAGTTTGCCAAAACCCATTTATGAGGGTACAACCATCGATGAAGAGGAAGATGACGGCGCTAAAAATAAGGAAGTCGATGATTACTATGCGCGTACGAGCAAAAAGTTCATCTTCCTACAGAGAGGTGAGTGTAACGGAATTGTAGAGTAAACTATTATATTATTGTACTATTTGAACTTAATGTTCTCTAGCCAATTTTTTACTCACCTACAAACATTTTTCGTTTGCAGAAAAACGCGAATGTCAGCGGTTGGGCACGAATTCATCCATGTGCTTCTCGTTCAAAATCGACGATGCTGATGCCGATGGCTTTGATGTCAATACCGCTGTGCTCTGGCTATTCAAAAGTAAAAGCAAACGCGCACATAGGCGTAAGAGGCCGCGTACAAGTCCGCAAACCATTGTCGTGTCGGAAGTGCAGCAAAACACACACCCGACGTATTTACCAGTCGTGAAAACCATCGCCATACAGGCGATCGATGTGCAAGGTGAGTGTGAGATCATTTTAACTGTGTTATTATGGTATATGAGTTTAAAATATCGGTAGACAAAGAAACAAAATCGAGTAATTTAAGAATTATGAAATGTTTTTAGACGGTGGGCCTAAAAAAATATTGATTTTGAGGCTTTAAAATACATTTTAATACGCTGGTGATCATATTGGGTCATATTGACCCGAAAAAACCATTTACATGTGTATATAAATTTAAATTTTAAATTTGAGACGAATTTTCAAACTTTTGATACATTTTCAATTAGTCAAATATATTTCTGATTAATTACTATTAAACTGATAAGTCGCAATAAACCGGAAACCCGTTATATGCTGTTTAAATAATAAGCTTGTATACAGTGTATATTTCAACGTATATATATTTTGCACCCAACTTAAAGTATATTCTAAGAGATGTTGAACTTGATAATAGTTCAGTTGATTTTATTTCATAAAACCGGTTATTTCCAGCGCTTGTATTATCTCTGTAAGCATATAAATTCATGAAGCTGTAAAAATTTGTAATTCAATAAAAATACATTAAGTCAGTTAAGCACAAAGAAACGATTGATGACTATCAAAAATAATTATGCTTGTCTTACTTACCTACACTTAAACAATAATTATATACTAAAAAAAAAATAATTGGTTTAGCATAACGTGGGGGTCTTTAAAGTGTCATTTTTTATCAATAAGTCAATGGAATTAAATATAAGATTAAAAATAATTAAAATATTGAAATATATACATGAATTCAGGGTTGCGAATTTTTTAAAAAATTTTGAATTAATCATTGATTATTGATGAATTTATTTTTTCATTTTTAAACTAGAAATCGAAAATTTAATTTTAAATCCCAAATATCATGGATTAAAATTTTGGACATATTTTTTGATTTAAAATTGGAGTAACAAATAAAAAAATTATTTTTTAAATTAAAAGCTATAATGAAAAGGGTTAAAAAAGGAAATATTTACACATTTATAACTGAAAACTATAATTAAATGTAACTAAATAAAAATAAGACAAAAAGGGCTAAACTATGTAGCTTGATATGATTAAAAAGCACAAGTTGTCAAAGGCTAAACAAACATTTTTTTTAATTCAAATTTTTTTCTATTTTTTTTTTAATTTAAATTTAGCATTTTAAATCTAAAAATATTCTTTTTTTAATTTTAATTCAAGCTTGGGATTAAAACTTTTTTTTCAATCCGACATATTAATATTTAAAATTTATTTTGAATATTTTATCTGATTTTTGGCTTTTAATTTCTTTATATTCAATTCCTGTTTACAATTTAAAACTATAATACTAAATTATAGTTAAAGACGAACAACAATTTTGAGTCTCGCTTAATTTGGACAGACTTAAGCTATTTTTAAGTGTGAGTAAATAAGCCACGTTACATTTTTCGTATCTAACAAAAATCCCGCGAATACCGATTCACTTTTGGACTTTCGCCGATCACGAGTCTAAAAGAAAATATACCATATAAACAAGTAAGAGTAAGGAACAGTGTACAAAAAAAAAATAATAATAATAAAAAAAAATTTTAAAATAATGAAAGAAATGATGAACTGAAACAGAGATAATTTTTGTTTTCTAAAAAAAAGAATTAACAAGCAAAAATTAAAATTAAACAATATGAAAACAATTTGCAACAACAATGATAAATTCGAAATCATAAAGCGCAGAAAGGAATAGTGAAAGCGCATTATTATTCAAAAAAACAAAGAATAAATAACAAACTACAACACTTTGATTATTAAATAACCGAATATGTGATTATTCATTAAATTAATAGCTTTCACGTTATCTATTATTGCTAATAAATTCTAAAAGTTGCACGCTAACAGATGTTTTTCTTAAATTTAAAGAACCATTGGTTTGGTCATTTGACCTCTTTGATTAAGAAAAATATAATTTTATGGTAAATTAAAAGTACATCCGGAAGCACTTTCTTTGGATTTTAGCGCTTCATCAGCAAAAATTTTCCATAATTATTGAAAATAAAGCTATCGAATATATTATATAATTAAAAAAGTAAGTTAATGTAAGTTTTGAAAAAAGTTTAATTTTTATTGAAAATTAAGTAATTTTGTAGTTCTTGCCTTAAAACCTAAATTATGTTATTTGAAGCCATTGAGAATACGTTAACTGCAGAGCTTTCGAAGCTTTCCTAAATTTTATTACAAAGATAAAACTTTCACTTGCACTCTAATTTGTTTAAAAAATTACGGAGAGGTTATTTAGGCAATTAGAAAAAATACCTCAGGTGTCTTTTTTAATGGAAACTAAAAAAAAATTGGAAAATTAATTTAGTTTAAAAAAACATTTTCATAAATTTTTTGAACACTAAATAATTAAATAATAATTCAACAGATACAAAGGTTCTTTAAACTATTAAAAATAAGATTTATTTATATTATTTTGACCTAAATTAAAAAAAAAATTTAACAAAAAATATTTTTTAATAAAATACCTTTTAGTATATAGTTTGTTAATAAAATACCTTTCACTCAGGAACGAATAACCTACATTTATGACTATTTTCATTCGAACTGACCAATATTATTAAAATAACAACACATGACAATGACATACCGTTACATAATATGCACCTTGAATTATAGTGAAATATATTCCCCTCAATTTCCAAGTTTGAATTGCTATGGAAATTTGTACAAAAATAGGCAGTAAAAAAATTAGATTAAAATATAGTAATTAAAATTTGAATATTTCAACACTTTGCCGATGCGCCGAACTCCTTATCAAAAGACGAAAAAGTATTAAAAGTAGTTCATTTTTTATTTATATGGTAGACCTTTTTATCAGTTGCGCAACACCAAGGAAATTTCAGCAAATTATTATAGAGCGAAATTAAAAATTTTTTTTTCCCTTTTATGCCTGTGTTTTAGCACAGCCTTAAGTTTATTATTAATCATATTACAAGTATATATCGCCTGATTTCTGTTTATGAAATAAATTTAATAATGACATACATATTTCGTTTTTTTAATTGCAGACGAATGGATGAAGATCGATATTGAATGGCCTATTAAACGTTGGTTCGGCAATCACGATCTCAGCCATCTCATACACATCTCATGCCGCACATGCGACATGGCCTCAATGGAGGAAATGATATCCGTTGACAAGGATTATCGGCCCTTCATAATGGTCGATACACGTAATCGGCGTCGCGCTTCACGCCAGAAACGTGGCATCAATTGCACCGACGGTGTGACGGAGTGCTGCCGTGAGAAGCTCTACATCTCATTCGATGAGATTGGTTGGGGTGATTGGATCATTCAACCGCGCGGCTATGATGCCTACTTCTGTCGCGGCTCCTGCGGCAGCGTAGCCAGTGTAGCACAGTCGGCGACGCATCACAGTGCCTTCTTGCAGGTATTGTATATTGCTTCCACTATTAGATAGACATTTTCTTTTTCATTTAACTTGTACTTATTCGCTGTATTGTTGTTTCTTGTAGAAAATTGCATTGTCGCGTCGCAACAACCGTGACAGCCAACCGCTTGAGCTGGTACCATGCTGCACCGCCAAACAGTATTCCCCGCTGAAGCTCGTCTTTATGGATAGCAATAATACTGCGACACAGAAAACATTTCCAAACATGGTTATTGAGTCGTGCGGCTGTCGGTAGTCGTCACTGGCTTGCGACACCAGCTGAATACATTACTGTATTATCGCGTTAGTTTCTAAGCTTTTTTTGTCTCAAATGTCTCGCATTAATTTGAAAATCCATAAACATTGCATTCATGACCGTTTTGTAATTATAAGTTTCATTCAGTTAGCTTTAAGTAATCATTTGTTTTTCCATCCAACCAATAGCATTATCGTTGTTAAACCGTTTAGTTTTTTTGTTGCAAATGCTCATCGAACTTAAATCGCTGCCATAAATTAAATTAATTTATATGTAGGCTTAAGTGATTTTATCTTTTTCTGCTGTTTTTTATAAGAACTGCTCAGTACTTAAGCTCTCGAAGAGATATTAGTTACTATATCTGTTAAGATGTTGTATTAATTAGAATTTTACCAAAAATAATTTAAGTAGTTACGCTCTGGAATTGTACACATTTAGTTCAATTTCTAATTAATTACTTTTTTTAAGGCTTAGTTATATTGGGCAGCTCGAGCGCCATTAGTATATTTAAAATATATAGAATTAAAAGTAACATTAACTAAAATGAAAAAATAAAACCAAAAAATGTACTTTGTAAACACTGTAAAATATGTAATCTTTTTTTCGGACTTGGTAGTCCATCTCATTCAGAATCCATTCCACAGCATTAACGGACATTAAACGATAAGTGGAGTAAACGTTGCCTACATTTAGGCATCTCTACTTAAACGAATCATTTGCTAGCATAGGAAATGAGCAGCTCCTTGGGATGAACATGTAATGACCATAATTTCAGATTGATGTCTGAAAAACTGACGGACTGGTTTGTGTATACACAGACAAACTGACCGACTGATGCACAGACGGACAGACGGGCATGGCTTAATCGACCCAGCTCGTCTAGCGTCATTAGGACCAGAAAGTTTCCGGAAGCGGATGTTTTCGCGCAAACGCCTTAAAACGCTCAAATAGTACTCTACTTATTGACTGTCTGTCCCGTTGGAACGAATTTATGAACCAAACCGCGAGTATGGAAAAAAATCAATTTCCGGAAACTTTCTGGTTTTATGGTACAACATGTTGCTATAAAGTATAATGAACGATGTGAAGACCAATACTATCGATCAACCACAGTATTCGCCGGATTTGGCCCCATGCGACTTTTTTAAGCTATTGCATAGCTTTTATGGTGAGCTTTTAGCGTGACGACTGAATCAAGAAATTTCGTAACGGAAATAAAACTAACACGATTACAAGATATTACAAGGCAAAATGTTTGCATACTTTAAGGCATATTTTCGTATATCTCAAGCGGAACAAGCAGCAGGGTGATTCAAAAATAATAACATTTAAAATAAATTTAATAGAAATAAATTAATAAAAAATAAATTATTCAATATTCGGAGTCATAATATTAGTAACATTATTATTATTTTGGTAAATAGCTACCCCACCTTTTGGAACAGTACCTCGTTTGAATTGAACATTGCAATTGAAATTAGGTATTTCAATCGGATTATCAATGGTAATAAATTTACACTTATCTTGGCTGGCGATTTCAACATCGAACTTATGTTTTTTATTTCAGTTACAATAAACCTATAGTTTCAATGATAAAAATTCCTGTGTAACCTATATTTTAAACAATATTAACTTTTCATTTATTCAATAAAAGAAAAAAAATGTTTTCGTATCGATCACCACACTCAAAAAATTTAACCTGAATTAATTTCCAAGAAAAAAAAATACTGCATAAAAAATAAATAAATAACAATAATTGCATAAGACGACAAAAAATGCTATGCAATAGCTTTACCGCGCCAGTCCCCGAGTGCCTCACGTACTTTTTTGTTCCCAAAACTCAAGTTATAACTGTAAAAACCGTTTCAACTCGATTGAGGCCGTAAAAGAAAATTTGCAGAGAGAAGTGACGGCGATCCCCGACAGCGCCTACAAGGTATGTTTCAATGTTTGGAAAAAGAGTTGGCATATGTGTATCGCTTCAGAAGTAGCATATTTTGAAGGCGACAAAATAAATATTGATGAAGAGTAAACATTTTTCGTTTTATTAACAATTTCCACAAACTTTCTGGTCTTAATGCATATATTTTATAGGCACTGGGTTTTACAAACTTCGTGGTAAACATAATAGTTTCAAAAAAAGAACTACGAAAGAAAGTTTGGACAGAAAACATTCTAATAATATGTTCTCTGATATTGGGTCAGTTGACGAAGCGGGTATAATGACGTAAAGGTTCTGAGTGGAGTTCCCACGTTCATTTTTACCAACCTGAATGCCGAATTCCAAAAATTGTTATTAGTTAATCATATAAACGCTAAGCAGATACAATGTATTAAAAAATAGATTTAGAAATTTGTGGAAATCTAAAATCACGTTGAAAAAAAAATTTAGTATAAACAAGAAGGTGTTTCGAAAACATTGTATTCAAATGACTCTGAAAATAAGGACACCACTTCCCGCCTTCTCCAATATTAACATAATCTTTGGAGCCTTTAAATTTTTTTATCTTACTTTGATACTACTGTTATTTTAATAACTGCTTTTATTGCTATTTGTATTCAATAAAGTTCAACTGAACAAATGTTAAATGCTGAAATTTTTCCAATTTTGTCATACAATTGTTCATAGTACCGGATTGCTTTAGATTGTATCTAAAATGGTCGTCGTCGCCAACGATAAACTGATAGAGCTGACTACTTGGCGACATAACTCTCTCTTGGTGATTCCGTGCAAAGATTTCCACATCGAACTCAGAAACTGTTAAGTGTGGTTATCTCCATTATGAGAAGTCAGAGAGAATAGTAGAACAAAAGGCCATACCACAATAGTGGCTTTGGCACCTCATAGTAAAAATCATTGTCGTAGCTGTGACCTCTAAGAAAATGCCTGATTCTGTAACAGAGAGGGAGTACTTATATTCTATCAGATACCAAACTTTGAGTGGTTACCCACAAAATGTATATCTGATAAAGCAGGCAAAAGTGAAATAGGCTGCTTTTAGCACTATTTTGGTATGAGGTCTTTGGAAGAGTATCGTATGACTAACAATCGCTCTAAATTGTTGTAAGTCATAGTTAAGCAAGATCTGTAGTTTCAGATTCTATTAAGCGACTGGGATTTTTCTCACCTAAATTTTAACGCTTTTTAACAATCGGAGTGAATTTGATGCACACAAAACTATATATTCAGCTTTATTTCTGTATTCTAACCAAGAAGTTTTCGGGATCGTGCCATTCTTTCCTCAAATATTTCAAGAATCTACAAAAATATAATAATTTTTTGATTTCGGAACTTGTACTTTCTTTTACTGGAATGTAAATTTAAAATATCTGTTTCCATATTCTTCTTCTTTACTGGCAAGACACCGCTATATCCGAGTTAATAACAGCGGGCCAGCCGTTTTGCTTTTCGCTATTTGGCGCCACTTTGAGATGTCAAGTGCACTTAAGTCCTTTTTCCAATGGAGGGTTGATATTTTTCTGCTTTCATCGGAGGTAACCTTCCATCCAGACAATATGACTTAAGCAGCACTTGTTGATAAGAGTGATTCTGCGTTGGAATTCAAAGCTGACATTGTTGTTGGTGTTACATAATGCTGGTTCAAAGATATTTCCGCATCCTTAGCAAGTCTGAAAAATCAGAACTGGTCTTGAAACCTTATGTTAGTCGTCGAAAACGCATTTTGGACCCTTAGTTTTTATACCCTGAACAGGGTAAATTAGATCTGCCACAAAGTTCTTAGTACCCAGAAGGAAAGGTTAGAGACCGTATAAAGCATGACGAGCTGAGTCGATTTTACTTGCGAACTAGTTCCTCCATTTTTGAGATATCGATCTGAAATTTTACACACGTCCTTTTCTCCCCAAGAAACTACCCATATACCATATAGCTGCTATACAAACAATCAGAATCAAGTGCTTATATAAAAAGCCATTTAATATGACGAGATATCCTCACGAAATTTGGCATGTGTCATTGCCTATGGTGTAGTCTGCGAAGAAATTGTTCAGATCGGATCACTATAGCAAATAGCTGCCATATAAACTAACCGATCAAAATCAAGTTCTTGTAAGGAATCTTTTGTATTTGTAAAGGTTATTATAGGCTTCGGGGCAACCGAAGTTACTGTTTTTTGTTGTTTTCTTTGCATATGCGCCTCGCTTTTCTCTTCAACTCTCGGTATATCTCATCCTGTTCGTGTAAGCGATCGCAACGTTGCCAGGTAAGCAGTCAGTCTGACACCACAATACTCATCATACCAACTCTTCTTTTGACGTTTCCAAAAACCAATATTGTCGTTTGCAGCTGTACCTCAGGAGCTTGAGACACCATCCTATAGTTCTGAGTTGCTGCTGAGTACTCTCAGAGAGCAGTAGTACAAGTCGAGTACAAACTCGTTCGGGAGTCGGTTGTGATTGTAGCTGTGCGCGCCCCGCTGAAGTCAATGAGCCTCAATCCATTTGGAGATGTTTCCCCACGGAGGCTGAATTTGTTTCCATATGCCAAATGAATTAAATGGAGAAAGACTTTTTATATATACCTACCTCTTTGTTTCGCGTCATTAAATGAGTAAATTAGTTTTGGATTTTTGTTTTTTTTTGTAATATTTTGTAATGTTTTCTTCTTATTTATTTTTTAAATTTAATTAATCTCCAGCTTCATTATCATTTAACGTCACCTTTCACCTGTTTATTTATTCATTGTTTATGGTTCTATAATGTGCTCTTCACCCACACTTCCCTGTCTTAAATGTATGTTTTTGTAATAATATACGTTAGGTAGCAATCACTTTGTGTTTTTTCTCAATACTTTAATTAACTTATTTTTATTACATGCTTCTTATTTTCTTTGTTACTTTTTCGCTTTTTGTTTTTTTTTTGGATTTTTTGGTTTGGTAATTGTATTTAGTTGGTATTAGCAATGTAATGAACTTTAATGTTATAATATTTATGTATAAATAATTATCTCGTATAATGTTTAGTAGTTTAACTCGAATGAACTTTTTATATATCAGTTTTGAATGAGACTTTTGTAGTTAAATCCTTTTACATGTTTTTTCTTATTTTTAATTTTTTTGTTTTTAGAATTACATATGAGATGCCTCGAAATTTTTTTGCAACTTCATTATTTTGCATTACATTTTTTTCTGTTTTATTTATTAAGTAAGTGAGTTCAATATGCAATTTTTGCTGTATATAAAATTCTCTTAATGTATGGTAAGTCTTCTTATGTGTGAATGTGTAAGTGCATGGGAGTTTTTGAGTTTTCGTGCATATTTTTAGAATTGTGAGTTTGTCATTTTAATATTGTGGGTTCTGGTGTTGTGCCTCGCTAGGCGACAGAAAGGTTAATTTCAAATTTTGTGTGTATACTTAAGTACATACAATATATACATTATTTTCGTTTATTTTTAATTTCTGTGAAAATTTAAGTTAGCCCAAGAGACAAAATGACAAATTTGTGACTATTTAATTAATAATTTTTGCAATTTTTGTTTTGTACAATTTATTTTTGCTGACTTTTTAAACATTTATGAAATTGTTCTGATATTTTATTATAGATATGCATTGCTTTTAAAATTTTATTTTTATCAATATTCTTATTTAGTTAAATTAGTGTAACTGTAAATTTTCACCATAAAATGTTTGCATTTGTTTAGATATTATTATATTATAGAATTTTATTTAACTAAATTCGTCAGTTTTAAAGTTAGTGTAACTAGTTAATAAAAAATATGTGATAAGCAAAGTGTTAAAATGTATAAGCAGCATTAATTTCCTGTGAATTTCAGAAAAACAAAAATTAAAATGTGTCATATCATATTTCTACAAAACATACTGCTGATAAAATTCACTACTTCTTTAGTGATTCACGCCTCTTTACCTTCAATTGCATTCAAGAATTTAATCACTTCATTAAAAGATTTATTTTGCTTTTCAGCACAACAACTTAAAGTTAAAGTCAATATTTTTGCAAAAAAAAAAAAACAACCCGCTGTCCAAAGAAAGTTCAAGTTCAACCAAACTGTTTAGTTCTAGCGTGGTTACCTTCATTCGGGCATTTAATCTCACTAACGAACTTTCAAAAAAAAAAAGGTGTAGACGAGTAATAATATACATGATTGAATTATTAGTTTATTGTTGGAGAAACTGTGACTTTTCTACTCACTCTCTTTTAATAACTATAACTGCAAAGGTATCTTTTATTATACTTGCACACTGTTTTAATTCCATTCCGTCCCAATACAGAATTAAACTTCAACCAAATGTTGTCGACAAAAAATGTGCACCCTACAATTAAATATAGAGTTTTTTTTCATAATATTCCATTAATATATCAAATGGATGGTAAAAATAATAAACCAAAATCTTTTTTAAAATGCATTGTGGCTTGTCGTGCTTTTCAAACCTTCTTCTTTAAAAGGTTAGGGGTAGTCAGAATTTTCTTAATCGCATCTTCTTAAAGTATAATATTTTAAAAATTTGAAGTAAGTCCCACAAAGTTTATTAGAATTATTTTTTAATTAGCAAAGGGTTCTCGGGCGCTCTGGAACGTTAAAACTTCAAATGCTTTTTTCTTAAAACTATGCTTTTTAACTGATGACCACTGTACCTCGTAAACCGTTCGATAGATTTCAATAAAATTTAAACAGCTCAATTTTTTTAAAGATGAGAAATTAGTAAGTTTTATTTTCAATATTTTATTAAGAATTAAGTATTGAGAATTCTGGAAAGATTTGCTCTGATGCTGCCATTTTGTTAATTAAAAACAGCTAAGATCAGGCACTAGATTATCAAAAATTTAAAATATTTTTTTTTGTTCATTTGATTTCAGATGAATCTTCAAAGAATAGTTATGGTCATCGCAAGGAGCTTCGGTTGAAACTGGGGAAAATTATAAATTTTTTTTTTTTTAATTTCTGTTAAGTCAAGCCTAACATAACTCTTATTTATTGATGCTTTTGTGAAATAAAAATATGTACTGACAAAAAAAAATATTTTAAATTATCATTTTTTCATGTCTCTGACTACACCTAAGCCTATAAGTTGTTGCTAGAGTGCTCAACTTTTCCGAAGAGTTGAACTACTACTTAATAACCCAAGTTAATATTAAGCGACGATACAAATATTCAGCTGCGGCGATTAGAAAACTGCTGCACTTCAACAGTTGATTTAAAAATCCTAATCTAAATGTCGTTTCATGGAGACTGTCGATCAGAATACTCTTGAATTGAATTGAAATTGACTATTTACAATATATATTCTCTTGACTTCTTACCTATAAACACTTTGCAATACGTGAATAAATGTAAGAAAAAAATATTTATCCAACACTATTGCTTGTTAAAGATCATAATTTGTTATTCCCGTCGCATTGACAGACAACTTTCCTCAAATTGTTTTGAGGAGTAGTGCATCTTTTCGATTAAGTATACTAAATGGTCACGGGATTCTGACTGGATGCTTTAGGAAACTGAAATTTCATATTACTATTATGGGTAATCCAATGGTTCTTTAATGCCAGAAAATTATTTATACATGGTTTTGAATGGCAACTAACTCTCGGATCACGCAAGTGAGTCTGTAACAACTTTTTAGCATCCAAAGAATTCGGGAAAGTTTAAAATTATTAGAACGGGCCTTTTAAATTGACTAAAACTAATAACAGAGAAACTTTCAAAAATTTTCTCGACATTCAGATTTGGTCAACCAAAACCGATTTTGATTTATGGTATATTCGTCTAAGCTGTGTCGTCTCAGCAACATTTCCCATAGTAATTTAGAGTATATATTGTGCCGATACAACAACGGCTAATTTTTATATATTTTTAATTATTAGAAGTACTGAAAATGAAATTTTCGCAAACAAACTATTTAAGGAAATAATTTTGGAAAAAGGAAAGGAAATAAATTTGGTGGAGCCAATCTTTATTTGATTATACCAAACTTCAAGCGAAATTGTTTTGAATTTAAGACTGGCAACGCTAATGTTACAACGCTATTTCCATCATGCATGGCACCGGCTACCAGCAAGTTGCCAATTTTTGAACTAAAGGTAATATATAATTTGTTTTAGTATACAAAAATTACAAAATCGGGACTAAAAATATAAATTTTATGTTTATGAATTCTGGCATGCATTTGAGCAATGCTGCCAGTTGCCTAAAGCAGTGCTTTTCAAAAATGTCAACTCAGGGTTGTTATCTGCCTTTAGAAATATACTGCTTTCACTAGCCAAACGCAATGCAGCATTCTGTCATAGTAGTGAGGTAAGTAGATCGGAAACTATAAACCAGTAGCCTTACTAAATTGATGAGTAATATATCTGCAGAATTGTAAAAGAATGGTAAATTTCCACTTCCTCTGATAATAGTTTGTATACGACCACTACTGCATATCGAATTTAAAATTCAGCCTCATCTTGGCATGCTGAAAGCGGATACCACGACAGCTCCAAGCCATAACTAACAAAGCCATTGCATATTTAATGAAAATGAAATTCAAATTTTTTTTTTTAACAACTGCGTGAGAGTATAGTGTAATTTATTATTTTTCATATTATTTTATATTACTTTTATAAAACAAAGTGTTGCATGGAAATGCATTTAATGCTGTGTGTATTCAATTTATTTCCAAATTGCGTTTGAGCTTGATTAATTTACTACATGCAGATTAGCAAATTCGAGATTGGTAATGAGTTCTTGGATTTCACAATTTTTTGCTAGATTTTTATTTTTATAAATATATTTTACAATTTTTAGCAGCAAAATATACGAGTAATAATGGAAAGACTTTATAAATGTATGTTTTTATTATATGTATGTATTTTTCGTATTTTCTTTTTTTTAGTAGATGAAGCTTAAAAATTCACTTTAGTTGAGAGCAGAGTGTTTGTTGTTCTTTTGTTTCGTTTCCTTTTAATCTAAGAATACGCTAATGCCGTAGAAATCTATGTGGGTGTGTATGTGTGTGTAGTTCGGTATGAAACGCATGAAAATGTCTTCTTTGTATATATATATGTATATATGTATGTCTATGATAGGTTAGAAGTATGTTTTTAGTTTAGTTTCAAAAAACTGCATTATTCAATATATATTTTTTTTTGTTCCATTTTTGGTTTTGGTTTTTTGTTTTAAATCTCTGTTTAGTTCGTTTCAATAAAAACAACTATCAAACAATTGCGCAAAATCTCTCAAAAACATTTTTGCATTTAACTTTGCAAAATTTTATCTTACATAAATCTTTTAATTCTGTTTTATGCTCATTCAACTGCTTGCCAGTATTTAATAAACTGCTTTTCGGTACATTTTCAATTGTTTAATGCATTACCTAATACACTAGAATTCATCAGATATATGCATGTATACATTCCGTTATTTATGCTAGCATTATTTCTGTCTTCATTATATTTTTTTTTTTAATTTACACATTTATATGTATGCGCGTATATATGTATGTATTGTAAGTATGTATGTGCTTATGTCTAGTGTTACCAGGTAAATTTTTTTCAATGAAAATTACATATACATACCTTAATAACAAATATGCTTAAATTTTGCATTTATGCCACATATTGTAACCGCATTCACCTGTAATGATTACTCATAATTACATACATTTCCATTACTTTCGCTCAAATTCGCACTCTTTCGCGTTGGAAATTACCTCATTAATACTACACAATTCGGACTCATTCACTAAAGTTTACAGTTACTTATGCTATTTACTCGCATTTTTAAGTTCAACCTTTGTCTTTTGCAATTGCTCAAGCATTCCTGTAACAAACATCATTCTAACATTTTCAACCTAATTATTGGCAATTATCTTTGCACTTTTCCATGTGTATTTACTACCCAGCAAGTGACTGACATTCAGTTGATTTTTAGTTAGCAGAAAATTGATGAAACTTACTCTAACAAAAATTATTGTACATTTTCTATAAACAAAATTTTTAAGAAACAGAAATTTTTGCTTTAATAAAAGCAATAAGAGTACAGGAACCGGTGTATACCCGAACAAGTTAGTATCAGTATTACGAAACTATATCGTCCATATAGCTCACTAACATTTTCTAAGTGGTGTTTCCATGACAATATCATTGGTTTATCAGAATAGTGCCATAACTCAATAGATCAAAAACTTTAGTTAAGCATAAAAAAATTTGATGTTTTGCAATTTTTAACACATATCGGAAGTGTTTTGTATATTTGCAGTAACATTTTATAACAATGGAAATATTCTAGTACGATTTTCTAGCATTCTTATACATTTTATGCTTGGACCCTATCTTACATTCAGTAAGGAGATATGTATACTTTCTAATTTGATATTTTTTTAGTGAGTCACAATGCAGTATGAAAGAGACAAAACGAGTATTGTTTTGCGTTCTACGATTTTACGATACGATAACGGCACAACTTTATTTCTGTAGGTTAGCGCGGGGTTTAAAAACATCTGTATATATAATGTCTAAAACGTCTAGTGAAGAAATGAGTAGTTTAAACAATAAAAAATAAATAAAAAACGAATATAATATTTTTGAACAAAAATAGAGAGTATGTCTGACTTGAAGAAAGTGGCACTTCATCACTGAATATTGAATTAAGTGCTCAGGGTATTCACGAGAGATATAGATTTTGTGATTTCAAATGGCAGTATAGCATACTATTCTCTGCAGTATTTATAATACCTGTAGAGAGTAACTACATTGAGTATCAATAATTTCCCGATCCCGCAATAAGGAGTGCTGCCATTTGTAATAGTATTTAAGAAAAAAGTATGGTGACGTCAGCTTTGCATTTTGTACTTGATGCATAAAATAACAATGAAATTTGGACAATTTTTTTATATCTTCTACTTGATTCATTCTATAATGTGGTAGTCCGTTGCAATTTTTGAGCCGAATGTCGGTTAACGCCACGAATAAGGCGAATAATTTACTTTATAATATGTATTGGGTCTAGTAAAAAGAAATTCATTGTTTTTTCCAGTAGATGGCTTTTCATACTAAAATAAATTCTCAAACAGTTTCGCGATTATTTGTCTCAGTATTGTTAGAGCTCTCATCTAAGATGGACAACAAGAAAGAGATAAACACCATATTTTAAGTCAAGCGACTAAGAATGTGAATAGTGTTTAAGGTCCTGACACTGTAATGCTAATGATGTGCATAGCTTCGTCTATTCCAATCCTGAAGAAAATTGCAGAAATACAAGAAGAAGCTCGATGTATGTGTATCACAGGAATTAACGCAATAAAACCTTATGGATCGAACTTCTATCTGGGAATCGCCATTGAATCGCAACAAAATCGATCCATTTCTGAAACGGGTGGTTATTGGTTATGAAAAGTTGATTTCCTACTTGTTTCTGTCTATGGCGAATGATTTTGCTGATGAAACACTGGCATTAAGAGAAGCTTGTGAAAATCGACTATCTCAGCTTTTTGACAATAGGGATGAGGATTTCTATGACAGGGGCTTCATGCATTACCTTTATAATGGCAACAAGCTGTCGAACAAAACGGTGTATATTTGAGCTAAATCGGATCTCTTATATAATATTAACAGTTAGCGAATTATTAAGAAAAAGTTACGAAGAACGAATTGTTACGATACGACATAAATGAAGTTAGAAATATATTTTATTTTTCCAAGACCAAGAAGAAATAATTTTTTACTCAATTTAATTGAGTATCTATTCTTCCACATATATTCAATATCGAACTTAGTTTTGATCTTTTATCTGTTTATGCGAGTCTTTTATAGTTATACCAATCGCTTGTTCGTTTCGCCTCAAAGTTTCAGCCTACCGTTGAAAGCTCCTGAATGTCGATACCTTACTCCTTTCTTCAAACACTCTGAAAAATCACTTTTTGCAAACCTTTAACATTTATCTTTTCTTTAATTTTTAGTACAAGATTTGTTTGTTGCCTAACACAAAAGCCACGCACACTCTTAGCTTACATATATACAACTTTTTAGTTTAACTCGCATACAATACATTCAAAAAATTGCACAAATTCCTTACTCAATATTCATAATTGTATTCTTTTGTAATAATTTTTACTTTTACTCTATTATAATTTGTTATTTACTAGTTAGTAGTAAGTATGCAAGTGTTCCGATGCAAATTGTGTGGCTGTGTGTGTAAGTAAAATTGTGATGTTTGTATGTGTGTGTGTGTGCGTGCTTACTTATGAAGCATGTATGCATATGTGTTGTATTTTCTTTAATATTTAATAGTTAATTAATAATTTTCTTATTTTTTGTTACTGTTAGTATTTAATTTATTACTTTTTGTTTAGTATTAATTAATGGAAGACATTCTTTTATACAAGTTTAAGACACAGAAAATGTTTTTGTGTGTGTGTGTGTGAATTTTTTAACGCCCCAACGCTGCATTGCATTCTTTTTATAGTTTTCGTATTGTTTTCATTTTATATTCCCCAAACCTCACACTTAATTTCGTTTTTGACATTTATGCATTTGTATTAGTTTTTAGTTTTTAATGAAAAAAAATTACAACAATAAAAATGTAAAGTAAAGCAAAATTTTCGCAGTAAACTCACAATAAACGCAATTAGTTTATGAAGTAGTCGATATGTTTAATTTTTTTTATTGGCTTAATTCGCTTTTTACTATGTTTTTTTTTTAGTTCTAATTTTATTTAAAGTTGGATATTTTTGCCAATTGCAATTACAGTCAAAAAAATATATATTTTTAAATTTTACTCAGCTTCTTTTTGACTTTTTTTTGCTGCTGCATTGCTAATTTTTACTTGTTAATTTAGTTTTTAATTTTTATTATGTAGGACTAATGCTTTTAATTATTATTATTAATCTTTTTTGCTATTGAAAATTTATTATTATTTTTGTTAAATTTTTTTTGCACATTTTTTCTCTTCTGCATTTCGTTTTGTATAAAGTTTTATATAAAATAAATCGTTTCAGTAAAAATACCAACAAAAATGCTTCATATGTTATCTCATATCATTTTAGTAGTGTTAGTATAATATAATTCGTTTTTTATTGCTGTACCGTTTTCTTCGCCTGTTAAACACTTGCGTTTACTTCTCACCGGATTTATTGGAAAACGTTTTTTATGTTTTTGCTGCAACAGCTGTTGTTTCTTTTTTGTTTTGTGTGGCATAAATTGTCAGTATGGTATAAGTACCATCAATATTTTCAATATTTGCATACATACATACACATTTATATATATATATATATATTTAAACTGATATGACGCTCAATAATTGCATTAAGTCTTTTCATTTAACTTTGCTTGAATCGTTTTTCATATGTAATTTTGTTACTGTGGTGTCTTTTATATTAATTATGCTTAAATATAGTATATTTCATGGTATCAGTTAAGCTTAATTGCAAAATAAATTTAAAAGTGAACTTTAACACTGCAGTGAATACGAGTATTTGTGCGCTTTTGTAGTTGGTGCAAGGAAATAATGACAACAAAATGCTTAATTTACAAAAAAAAATACCTTGAATTTCATTAAAAAAAATTTAAGTTAAAATAAAAATTGTTTTATAAATAAATCTTGTTAATATAAATATATTTTTTTTCTTACTAATTCCAATCTTATAAATATATTAACTTAATCATTCAATTTTTTTTTGATTCTCAAATTTTATTGACTTGATATTTGTTGCGTGAATTGCGAAGAAAATTTGATAAAGAAAATTACCACTATTTTGTTTTTTTTTTGCTTTAAAAACGGATCGGTAGGAATTTTTGTTACTTTTTTTTGCTTCAAAATTGTTTAATTGCGTTTCCTTTCTTTTTCGCTGTCAACAATATTTACAAAAAAGTGTTTTTTAATGTTTATAACGGCAAATACTTTACTATTTATAATTGTTGCCATTTCATTCAAAATTTTGATTTCAAATTTTTAACGTCAATAATTTAACTACATTTACGCTAAATGTATGACACTGTACTAACTGTAAATTGTTTTTTTTTTTTAATTTTTCAACAATAGCGGAAAAAAGCAATATATAAAAAAATTTACAATAAATAACAATATTTTTAATAGTTATAATAAAATTAAAATAATAACAAAAAAAAATCTGTAAAACATTAAAAAAATATTGTATAATATTATATTAGTTCAGGGTTGCGAATTTTCCAATTAAAAAATTGTAAATTAATCACTAGATTTTATATTTTTTATGCCAATTCTGAAACTAAAAATTAAATTTTCTATTCTAAATATAATTTTCCAATTTGTTGGAATATTGGGATTAAAAATTTAGTTTTTAATAATGATTTTGGGTTTAAAAACTAAATATTTAATTAAATTAATAATTCCGTATGTTTAGAACGATAAATTAAAATTAAAATTTTCAATATTTAATTTAAAATTTAAATAAAAAAATTTAATATTTCAGTATTAATTATTTTATACCCAAAGCTTAGATCACACTTTAAAAATTAAATTTAAAATTTAACTTTTTATTCCAAACATCTTGCATGGGAAAATTTTTTAAATTTAAAAGTTTGAGTAACAAATAAAATTTTTTTTTTCAAAATAAAAGCTGGGATGAAAAGAGATAAAAGGGAACGATTTTTCATATGTCCAACTGAAATACTATAATTAAAATAATTAAATATAGATAAGACAAAAAAAGCTAAACTATGTTGATATTTTACAAAAAAGAAGCTTTTATTTTCAAAAGATAACCACGGTAAAACACGATATACCCAAACGTGCAAAATAAAAATTCTAAAACCATTTTCTTTAATAATTCTTATTATTTTACTTTCAATCCGGTATTTGGGATAAGGATTTAAAGTTATATTTTTATTTTTTTGGAATAAATATTTTCTTTATTCCAGTATTTAGGGTTAAAAAATTATTTTTAATGAAGATTTTTGCAATTACAAAGAAAAAAAAAATAATAATTAAAATGTCTTTTTAAGCTTTATTTGCAACCCTGTGTTAATTATATGGCTTACGATATAAAATTTCATATATAAAATATGACACCGCAATGTAACAACTAACAATTATTTCTCTCCAAAAAATATGAAAACAAAATAAATCACAAATTTATAAATATATCTGCAATAACGAATAATTCTTATTCAAATTTAATTTAGAGTAATTTTTTTTACGCGTTTACGTTATAGTACCACTGTACTTATTTAAATATGTCTATATAATTTTCCCGCTAATTATTACTAATCATATTAACATTACTGGTCATTGATATTCTTTTTTTTTTGTTGTTTTACTAATTTACATAAACTAAGTTTGCTTGCTCCACCTTAACTGTTCTTTAACAAGAGTTTAAATACAACTAATTGGATCTAATTTTTTATGAATTTATAAATTATTTTAATTAAATTAAGTTTTTATTGTCTACCAACTTACACAAAATCGTTTTTTTATTTGTTTTTCAATTTAACTACGACCTAGCTTATATGCAAATTTAATATAGTAGGAGGCATCTAAGAAACTTATTCCACTGTTTTCTATTTAATTACAAAAAATATTCTAATTACAAATTATGATTACTAATCATCATTTGCATTTAATTACTCAATATCATGAAATTCACTTCGGTTTGCTTTCGACAAAAATTAATATACAATATAGAGCGGAAATTTGTATTTTTTAATTTTACATTTGGCTTGGGTTGTGCGGTATTTGTTGCACCCTACTAGGTAATAAAAAAAAAAATAAAAACCTTAACTTCAGTTGCACTGCAGCTAGAATACCCTTCACAAATAAAGAAGTTTCTTTTGATTTTGATCAGTGTGTACGATAGCTATTATATAGTGGTCCCATACGGAAAAGGTCTTTAGACTTTGTGGCTTTGTCTCAAACAATAATTCATGCTAAGCTTCATGAAAATATCTCATAAAATAAAAAAAAATGTTCATTCAAGAATTTAATTTTGATCATTCAGTTTGTATGTGGCAGCTATATGTTATAGTAGTCCGATAGCGACGGTTCCGACAAATGGGCAGCCTCTTGCGGATAATAAGACGTGTGGAAAATTTTAGAGCGATATTAGAAAAATTGTTAAGTGAAAGCTGCAAGCTGCAAACACCTGCTAATTTGAACAGCGAGAAAGCACTTGCTTTGCAAGTTACTTTTTGAAAGTATTTATTACTTCACTTTCGAAAGTTGCTTTTCATACAAGGTGTGACTGTTCCTGGAATCATTCTTGGCAATTCCAGAGTTTGTCAGGCAAGTCTGTAGCGCTTTACTCGCAATATTTGACACAGCCTTACATTCAATACTTATATCTACGGACAAGGAGTTTCGAAAGTTACTTATGATTAAAAGCATGCTGGTGTTTTTAATACATCTTGGACTACTTTAGGACCAATATAATTAAGATTTTACCGAAAACGTTATTTCAACGATTTTTCTAGTGATAGTCTTGAATTCAAGGCTGTAGACTATGCGGTAGAATTAGAATACAATGAAATGAAATTGCCCTCCATTGTTAGTTGGAGCGATATAAGAAGTAATTTCGGAAAACATGCATCTCATCTTTACTGTAAAAACTAAGTACAATCTTGGGAAAGGCAACTCGCTCCTTAATTCTTTTTAAATGCCTCATTAATTACTTTTAAAATGGAAGCTCTAAAGAACACATACCATATATGCTCAAGGTACAATATTCTCTACTTAATTGTAAATAACTTTGAATATCGAACAATTTTTGACCACATGAAACGGGTTTTAGTTCTATACACCTTGTACTCAATAAATTAGTCAATTGGAGGTATCTTTCCAAAGTTTGACAATTCAATTTTTATTTTGGCTTGCCATTTGACAGATACCAAATCAAGACTTGTCAATTTAGAAATGGAACTTTCTGCTGATATGGTACTTTAAGGTTAAATAATAATTTTATGTTTTACGAATACCAGTGCGATTTTAAACGAAGTGATCCGTTTGAAGCCAGTTTGAAACTGAAATGTTACGACATACCTATATATTATTTCTTCTGTCATGTTCAAAATTGAATCACATAAATGACAGCAGCTATGACATATTTAATAACAGTTGCAGCCGCGGGATAAAAGACTTTACAATTTCAGGTATCAATATTTTGTTCAGTTGGTTCAAACTTTGGACTGCTAAGGTGGTAGATATAAGTGGATGCCGTCTAAAGTCAATTTTGATGTATATTCTTTATTGCCACAGGAATGTGTAGAATTTATCTCTTTTTTTTTAAACGTAAATTTCTGTTTCAATTTTTTTTGAATAAAATACTTCCTTGTAATGATTTTTGTAGCATTAAATGGACATAGTGAAAGTACATTTTTGTAATCACACAGATTTTAAGCAATTATACCTAGAAAACATTGTTCTTGGTTTGCCTGCAGCAGATCGATTATGTGCAGAATACTGTATACTATAAAGAAACTGTCTGTAATGTAGAGTTTTCTACAATATAGTTGCTATACTTATAGCTACTATTGAAATATAAAATCAATTTGGGAAGTTATTGACATACTACTTATATAACGGTAATAATTTTTTGAAATAAAGATGTGAAATGACTTTCACAGTAATTCAAAACCAATAATTTTTACACTCAAAAGTATGTCTAGATTCTTTTATTTCTAAGAAGAAAAAACTTTTCTAGTTCTGAAACAAAAAAATTTGGTTTTTGAGTAACGTACATATATATGTATATGTATTCCGGGGCTTGAATCGTCTAAAATTTCTTTCCGCTCTTAAAAATCAATCTAGAATTAATATTTGTCTAAGTCGAAACTGAAAAAACCTACTTTTGCACAATCATACTAATATACTCATACTTATAAATACAATATATGAATACTCTAAGACAAAACTGTTGCTATTGTTAAAATATACTCGTAAATACATTTGTTTTGTTGTGTTAATTAGTGGGTTTGTTGTTGAATTTTTGTTGGCATAACTATTGTAAGTATTTTTGCGTTGTTTCTCGTAGTCATTCATTTCTGTATTTGTATGGTATGTAGTACACTATTCACTACACCTATGCGTAGAGCTTTTTTGACCTGTAGCTTGTGATGTTTAGTGGTTTAGTGGCTTAGTGGTACTGCACTTAGTATCACGCGTTTGTCAGCGTAAATGTCACCACCAACATAAGCAGATGCGCTACAAAGATCGAGACGGGCGCTTGCAGCAGTGCTGTGGCACGCCCACATTGCTGTATCTCAATTTCCTCGGGATGATAATTGATGCATTTTTTGGGTCGGCGACGCTTGGTACTCTCCTGCGATTGGCGACGCGCGCTGCAGGCTCCTAGAAAATTGATTGGGGAAAATTTGATAAAAAAAATGTTTTGTGATTTAGTTTTTTTAAATTCCATTTATACCAATAGTACCCGACTCCTCAAGTGGTTCAATGTCCAACTGTTTGGAGCCGCAAGGACATAGGGTATCCACCACTAACAATATCAAATTGCTATGTGGTATTTTCTGTACGCTAAAGGGGCGTTCACAACCCGACACATGACAATTTGTCAGCTTGCCCTGGAAATGAGAAATCTTTGCGATATTTCTATAACTTTCGAGTACTTGCAAAACTCACCTTAAGCGGATTGTTTTGACCGCCTTGATTGAGACGCTCTGGTTGCAGCATATAAAGATCTGTACGCAGGTCGCAGCGGCGTGCATGCTGAGGGTCGGGAGAGGCGCGTGGTCCGGTGTGTGGCTTATGTTGCTTAGGGGCTGGTGTTGTGTATTCCTAGTTATAAAATTAAGACCATTTAGAAAAGAGTTTCATATGTATTATACTCCAGCTCAATAGTACTGAGAAACTTTTAAAAGACCTATAAAATAAAACTAAAATCATATTTTATAGTTTTGATTTCGTCATCAAAAATATTTCCTATTCAGGTTGCAAACAGACAACAATGAGTGGTTCGAATGAAGCTCGATGTTTTGAAAGTCTCAAATTAGAGTTCTTAGATATCTTGTCTTCAACCGTCCCATTGAGCTTTGGATCCTTTTTCCAGAATTTTTAAGCAATCAGAGATGACGTTAAAGTCCTCTTGATTCTAGATCTAACCGAGCATTCAGATTTTCAGAGTTTTAAAAACTTGAATCAATGTATGCCGTATTCAAAATGGGGTCGTAAGCCATATTTGATGTACTTATTTATTATGAACAATAAGAGAAGTCTAAGTTCTATACAATACGAAGACAGCCGACTTCTCCTTAACTTTCTCTTATTTATGGCTTCCTTGAAAGTTTCCTTTCAACATCCGTATTTCTATATATCGTAGTGATTAGCTAGTTAAAAAGGCCACTTCCAAAAGCTTAAGGTATCAACTTTCTTTGATAATAACAATTAATCCAGGTTTTTTAAATTACCCCAGGTATTTTACTTACCACATCAGCGGTGGTGAAGAATTCATCCATTTCCTCATCGATCTGTGCATTGTAATCCTCGAAGGGTTCGTATTCATCTGTATATGTAGGTTCCTCAAAGACATCTTCATTGTAGGTGTAATCATCTTGTGGCCATGCGTTTAAAGGTGTTGGTAATAGCGATAACCAAGTGGCACTCAACGATACCAAATATTTCATTAAAAAAGTAGAGACACGATGTGGTTGTAGTGAAGTACTTGCAGCCGTATACGGATTGTCAGAGTCAGAGCAAACGCCTTGATAATCATTGACCGTGACACGTTTGTAAATGCGATCCTGCACCAAGGAATCCATGATGGTACCATCGATTTGACCAAAAAATTTGCCTGATTGCTCACTCTGTTCGGAGATAATCACAAAGCCGTTGTTGTCCAAAACATAGCAATCCAGATCATCGGAAGCGCATGTGCGACGACAGCCTGTCATGCCGGTGCACTGGAGGCAGAATAATATATATGTTATATTTATACATTTGAAACTATATTTGCATTACTTACGGTTGAGGTAATGTTTATGAAATGCTTCGCAAGTGAGTCCAGCTGGAATTGCAGTCCCACGACCGCAGCTATAGCTTTGTGGCCACGATGTTCGACAAATATGGCATGCGATGCGGTTACAAGCGTCGTATTCAGTTTGGGTGCATACCCATTGGCGAATGGTACACTATAGACAAAGCTATCTTGTTCGACGGTATGCTGATCGACGGCGCGTTTGTACCAGGGCATATCCATGGCACGTGCGTTATCTTCACTGAAGTGGCTGCAAGGAAAGAAATTATCAATTGAGTTCTGCAAGTTTCGAATCGAAGTCAACTTTAATGGTCCAAAACAGGGTCGAAACAACCTGGGATTCAGACTCAATTCAAATGGTAAAATCCATTGGTATTATGAGTTAAGCACTTACGGATCAGGCGAGTCTTCAGGTCTCTTGATGTGATCAATCCAACGCAGCAGACCCGAACGTGTGGCCACAAAAGACGTTGCAACCAAAAACTTTTGATAGCCTTGTCTGAAATTATATTTAAGGGTTGATTTAATAAAGAAAATGGAAATAGGCGTTTTTTCAAAATATTACGCCAAAGCTGGAAATTTTATAAGGGCTTTGTGCATATGACTTTCTTTTTTAACTCCAGTTACTAATTGCGAATAAGGAGGTCGGTCTTTTGTGAGAGCTAAAGTTTATATTAATGATACGAGATATACGATTTTTAAAGCGCTTAGTCGTTAGAGCTTTTCTGACCTAGAACGACCTATGCAAAATATTGTTTTACGGTCTAGAGCTTTAAGGGTCTCGAGCAGTTTTTGTGTGTAAAGTAGTACAATAAGCTGTAAAAATAATCTTATAAACCCTATAATTGAATAATTCAATGGCAGATTAAAACTTTTATTTTTTCCAAGGAAAAAAAAACGTATTTTCAGACGTGAGCTTAAAGTAGTAAACAAAGTTAGTATAAAAATAGAAAATATAATTGGAAGTTTTGAAGATTCTTCAAAAATCTAAATTTTTGATTAAATAGAGGTTTCGTAGTTGACAGAATACTTTTTGATAACATTCCGACTATTACGACAGTTTGGTGACAAACAACTAAATTAAATTAAAAGAAACGCAACAAATAATTTGTAAACTTAGTCACAAAACGAAGATCTGTCTGTATTTAATGAATTTTAACAACCGTAGGTTAGGAAAGGCAGGTATTCATGAGGCCATGAATAATCTTATTTCGACTGCTAGAGATGAATGTTCGTTATGAGGCGCATATTTGTAAAGCGACATGTTTCTGCCACATATTTATTGAGATGGATAATATCAATTCCAATCAGGTCGCCTTGTTCGTGTTTCCATCTCATCCTCCCTCACTCAACTTTGACAAGTGAATGCCAGTAGAACACTGCCTCATTCCCATTCTAATAGGATTTGGGTAAGGGTTGCAAACAACACTAATGTGGAACAAAAAAAATCTGTGTAATAAAATTAATCAAATGTTAAACCGACACAACTATTCATATTCGAAAGATATTAAATGATTGGATGCAATATAGTATTGGAGTTAAAAAGAAGTAATTTTCAAGCACTTATTGATAAGATAGGCAACTAAAATATGTCGCTGATCTAAGAAGATTTGGGTAGTCCACGAAAGCTTTCACTACTTGTGCGAGTAGCTTTCATATTTCAAAGTTACGAATATGTCACAATATCCGTCGTAACTAGCGTGAATGTGTAGCTTACAATATCCAACGCGTCTCTAGGCAGCATTAGCTTACATTAGCATCGCTTTCGAAAGCAGCGTAGCAATAAAATTTAATCGATACGAGAATTTTGTGTAATTTACCTCTTCAAAATTGCCATTAATGTGGCTATTGGACTATAGATTTGTTTATGAGATTTTTGTTTGTTTAAAAACATATGTATAAATATATAAATTGCATAGATGAGAAGGAATTATGTCGTGTGTAATGTTATTTTCATTACAACACAAGCGTATATCCATTAAGTGATTATGTTTGTAAGAAATATAGACCATTAAGATAGTAACCAAAACAAATGGCCAGAAAGTAAAAAAGAGTAGAAATACAAATATAAAAGAAATTTGTGCTTTAGTGCATAAAGATTTTGCTTTCAAATAAATAATTTTCAATTTATTAAACGACTTCAATTGATATGAAATTATAATCAAAGAGTATATGGTATATTTGTGCTGGAAATGGTGCTTTAAATCGAATTAAATCAAAGATAATTAGCTAAAAACGATATCGTAAATACTCTGCACATATGGAAGTTGTTTATATCCAGTTGTTGAGCTGAGTTGAGCTTACTATTTATTGTACTTATAACCCTATTATGGTTTTCAATTTCACTCGATTAAATTGAATTGGCCATCTTTCGACAACGCTCTTGAGGCAAATTAGGCTCAACAGATGCAAGTGGCTTCTTCAGTAGCACGTAGTCAACGGACTTACATATAAAAATATTTTCACTGTTAAAGAAGTTTTTAATAAGCAAAACAACAAAATCTACACACACTTCCAAAGACGCAAAAGGTACACAAACCCAGAACCACTTAACAGTGTTTTATTTCCGAATCGTTTGAGGGCTTTTATGAAAGCAAAAAGTGACCATTTTGATTGAAATTTTGTACATCGCTTATTTAATATACGCGTTATTAAAAAAAATTATTATAGTTTCAATTTTAAAACGGGCTGGACTTGTAACATAACTATGGCAGGACTAAGTTTATTCGATAAGATTGTATACTTCTATAAAGCCTATGGAAGTCATTCTAACTGGAATCGTTTCAAAAAATATTCGAGTAAAGTGAAGGTTATGTCATAGTACTCGGGTTTCCTGAACGGAAAATTAAACTTATGGGCAATTGCAACTAACCTACGTGTGCGGATCAATAAGAATTAAGTTTTAACGTTTGATTTTGGCAATATCGAAAGAGAAATTTACTCCTTCTCGTAAAAGACTACGACCACGTGTGAAAGCAGGCAAATCCGCGATTTTAAGAAAATGGAAATATTGACTGGTGATTCGACTCTTGTTTCTGGGAGGAAAATCACGTAGTCGAATCAAAGAGTGCTTGAATGCTCGGTTTCTGATGTTATACACCAAGCTGTCACGAAAACAGTTACCATGGAAGATACTTGACAAAAGACAATGATCTCGTATTAGTAGAGCGGCTATTGAAGGCGCTGCAAATGGGTATAATTTTCTGCTTTTCTTCGACGCCGCACTTATAAAGCAGCAAATGGATGGCAACTTTCTGCGGCAAAACAAGTAAGACTCTACAATAATAAAATATTTCAATAATTTTCTAGGTTCAGATTTAGAGTTGCAATCTGGATATGTTGTACGTCTTTTCATTGTGCAGAGTCAAATCAAAAAGGGATATGTATGTAAATCTAGAAGAAAATTAAGAAAAAATGCATGCTTCCTTATGCAGCACGTGTTGTCAGACACATACTGTTTATCCTCCTTCCCATTGGACGTTCCAGTTGAATTTCGGTCCAGACCATCTGTTACCATAGCATCACGCACTAAACTCTGTACCAAGGTTCGATCGCAATAGTAGGGTTCGGCTTTGCGAGAACCTTGCACGTTATTTAGATGCTGAGCAAAATGGCCGACAGGTGTCACGCCATGCATGGCATGGTGTGGTTGCGGTGGTTTCGGTCGCACCTATGAAGAATAAAATGACTAAATTTAATCAAAACTGTTCAGCGAGTTATTTAATTTTTTTCAGAGAATAATTTAGCAGACAATACTACACGTCTGGGTTATAATATTTCTATTCTACTAATAATTTTTGCCATTAATTTGCTTACCGACATCCACTTCCAGCCTGGCCTTCCTGCACGTCCCAAGAAATGTAAAACCTGCTCTTCCGGTGAGCCGAAACTTAATTCTTGTTCACGTGAGGCTGAGAGATATTCGCCAGAGCTTTCACGCTCCTTCTCTAAATCGCTAACACTATTGTACTCACAATACACCCAATCGGGATGTACGCGCCAATTGTCTCCCTTAAAGTACTCGGTCACTGTAAGGTAATATGTAATGTAAGTAAAATTATAAGATTAAGGAGAAGCCTTATAATTGTTATACCATTTCTGCGCGAGTGCCTTATTTCCTGTTGGGAGACCAATTCGTGGCTGCCATATTTTTCAGGGAGTACAACAGCTAAGGTAAAGGGCGTATCTTCAATAGGTCCATAAAAATACCTAAAATTGAAGAGAATATCATTGAGTTATCATGTACTGAATTATCAGATACTTTGCTTGAGATGGAGCCTACCTTTGTGTACGCGCCGTTACTCGTTTCATTTCGTCAAAATGATTGAATACCGTGAATTCGGTTTCACCCTCCTTGGGCATGAGCATATCATTGCGCATCTGTTAAAATAACGGTATTTAATATATATACGATTCTTCAAACATTATATTCGCACTCTACTCACATCGTATAAGAGATTCTTATTCATTTCGACAATTTCATGCTCGTTACCCACTTCGGTTTCCGGCAGTTCCAACTCCGTTACGTCGACTGACGTGTACCGCGGCCGCAACTGGTCGATATATTGATTACCATCACTCAATGGACGCAAATCTGGATGATACAGTACACGCCCATTATTATCAACGATAAACGAATATCCATTCGGTCCCAATTTATGTTGCGGTATCATCTTACGTATCTCCTCGATGGGCACATCGGTGCCAACAACACCGAGTAAATTCGCCACACGCACCGAATGGTTTCGTCTATCGAAGACCGGAGTTGAAACTGTCGTCACCAGCCTGCGCTGGTAGTCAGAGTCGCGTGCCAAACCACCAGTCTTGCCGGCAACGAAGACGGGACTCCAGTGTACTGGATGATCGGCCTGGTACATTATCATGGGACGTGCCATTACTAGTGCATAGTCGATAACCTTTTTGCGTGCATCATCCATATCGTTGATTTGTACAAAGAAACCTTTATTGGAGCAGGCCATTTCATGCAAATTGCTGCGACTACTCGAATCGGAACCGATTAGGTAGGTAAAAATTCGTACGGGCATGTGAGGCCAATTATATTGCTTGATTATGTCGCTATGCGTCTCGGACGTACTCTCAGTGATGAGCATAATGGCTTGATTACATTGACTGCCCTCGCCCGATTGATTGTACTAAAATGAAAGATAAAAAAAATCACACCGATGAAAAAGTTGTAGACAAGATGTATGTGTTAAAGACAAACAACTGACCTTGTGCAGCAAGCTGAACGCGTACTCCAGGCCAGCGGTGAAATTAGCATTGTTTTCTAGCTTAATTGCCTTTACGGCGGATTTGATCTCCTGTATATTGTCTGGGGTGGCGCGTACCATGCGATCCTTAAAGCACGGCACCGGCGTTTTGACATCCTCCGCAAAGGTAATCAAGTTGACGAAATCATTCTCGCCTAGCGTGTCAAGTATATTAAAAGCTGTAGCCGTAGCGAGTTCGAAAGACTTGTCCGACATGCTCGACGATGAATCCAATAAAATCATCTGGGTTGCGCAAATATAAAATAAGTTAAATGTAACATTTTAATCACACATACAAACTTACAATATCCTTCGGTGACGATGCGGCTTGCACGAACCAGTTTTGTGCGCGGAAGTCATGTATTTGTTTGCTGCCCTTTGAACCCTCCGGTGGCCAAGCAGTGCCGGGGAAACGACGTAGGAAACCAGTTGATGAGCCGAAATACTGCCACGAGAGTGCTGGATCGCGTTCGAGATTGTTTTGAAAGAGTGGATCGAGATGTGCGCTCCATTGTAGTGCTGACTTTACATCAGGCTCATCAAGTGAGACAGAGTTCGGCACTAGAATGGAACTGAGACTGAGATTGACGGGCAATCGTTCAAAACGACGCATAAAACGTATGTCCATATGCCGTGCGCCATCCGCCAATTTGCCATCCGAATTGTATTCGTTAATGCGACGCGCATCGTAGTGCTGATTGTTTATCGTCGCGGAAGTACTGTGAGAGTTCTGTGATTCCAACTCGGAGAGAGCGGCCTGCTCTGCGGAGTCCATAATACGCTGCAAGAGAAGAGAGCAATTAAAAAGTTAGTAACCAAATAAAGTCGAAGATTTTGGGCTAATCGAAGCAAGTAAATAAGTTTCCAAAGATGGCGATATCATATATAAATTTGTTGGAAATAATTAGTTTTTAGTTGAATGCAGTTAATATGGATTGGATTTTTTTTAGAGATTTGATAAGGAACGTTCATAGATATCTTCTTTAAGCCCCATAAGCATGTACTTTAATATCGAATGAGACATTGAACCAAATAAGAAGGTACATATCAAAAAAAGTGTAACAAAACGTAAAGAGCGAGTTTTTTATTCTGAGTAATCCCAAGTACAACGCTGTAATTTACACATAAACTCTCTTGTTAGGGTCTCGTAAAATATCTTGTAGAGCAACTATTCAGAGGTTACTGGTTTTATATTAAGTTCGACGCAAAGGTCCATAAGTGAAAAGATAAGTTTATATAAACGCTTTTCAGCTGACAGACTACATTCGGGGATCGGTGTTTAAGATTTGCGGAGTTTTACGCCAGCGAAGCAAATACTTACTGTAAGAACCTCGAGAAAAGTTACTGTTTTTAAAGTTTAATATTAAATGAAATGAGCTTGAGGTAGATAATCTTAAAATAGTTTTAGTTTTTTGTAGGCAAAATGTTTTTAACCTATAACATATGCATTATGCAGTATTAATGGAATATTTGATTATCGTAAACGCCGGTAAAAAGTAAATGAAAACAAGTAAAGAAGGGCTAAGTTCGGATGTAACCGAACATTTTATACTCTCGCAAAGTCAAATTGTATACTCGTTTGAGATTTCTTTGTGGATTGACTGATATTTTCGGTAGGAGGTCAACTATAGGCACTGTGGTCCACATATAATATTTAGTACTTAGGGGCTTGAACAGTTTTGGTTCGATTTAGACAATTTTTGGTCACAAGGTGACATACTTTAAACATATTATTCACGCAAAGTTTTACCCCGATATAATCATTGTTGCTTGATATGCATGGTGGAAAGTGAAAGAATCAGATAGAATTGAAAATGGTGTTATATGGGAAATAAGCGTGGTTGTAGCCCGATCTCGCCCATTTTCGCACTATAACATAAGATATGAAAAGAACGTTATGTACCGAATTTGGTTGAAATCGGTTAGGCAGATCTCAAGATATGGGGTTTCACCTAAAAGTGGGCTGTGCCACGCCCACTGACTAATTTTGAACGCGGTTCCTATAAAGTTATCTCATACCATTCCAGAGAAAAAATTTAATGTTTCTGGCGTGTTTAGTGCTTGGTTTATCGCGCTTTTAGTATTTTTTACCAGTACCGTTATATGGGAAGTGGGAGGGGTTGTCCTCCGATTTCACCCATTTTCACACCGTCAACAGAGGTGCTAAAAACATTTGCTTCAAGTGAATTTGGTTATTATAGCATTAGCGGTTTAGGATATAAGCACATTAAACCTAGAAGGGCGGGGCCACGCCCACTTAAAAAAAAAATTTAACTGCAGATGCCCCTCCCTAATGTGATCCTGTGTACCAAATAAAAGTCTTGTATCTTATTGCGGAGCTTAGTTATGGCAATTTATTTGTTTTTGATTAATGGCGTTTTGTGGGCGTGGCAGTGGTCCGATTATGCCCATCTGCAATACCAATCGTCTCATGGTGCCAAGAAACATGCCTACCAAGTTTCATAAAGATATCTCAATTTTACTCAAGTTAGAGCTTGCACGGACGGACGGACAGACGGACGGACAGACAGTCACCCGGATTTCAACTCGTCTCTTCATCCTGATCATTTATATATATATAACCCTATATCTAATTCGATTAGTTTTAGGTGATTCAAACAATCGTTAGGTGAACAAAACTATTATACTCTGTAGCAACAGGTTGCGAGAGTATAATTACGGCAAATTTATATGAATTGGACTTTACTACTGCAACTAGCTGAAAAACTAGAAATTGGGTCCTATCTTTAAACAACAAAGTATCGTACTACAAAATGCTCCCATGAAAGCCTAAGCTAACTTTTATATATGTACGTTTTTTTTTTCAAAATTTAAACGTTAGTTTAGTATTATTCGAAGTAAGCTATATTGTTTTCTTTTCTTTCTGGCAATTTGCGGATTCCATCCCCAAAGAGCCCCGCCGGCTTGGCCGTAAACAATGAATCAAGCCAATTTTTCATACCTTGTTCTAATGATAATCGTGTTCCAGTTAGAGTGTTCTGCATCGAATAGTATAAATGGTAGTCAGAAGAGGCAAGGCTTGGGCTATAAGACGGTTGAGGTAAAAATTTCCAGTCACTGTTCTCTAACCAGTTTTTAACCGATCTTGCAACATGAGGCCAATCATTAATATGATATAAAATTATTGCCTCGTATTTAGTCGCGAATTCCGAGAATTTTTCGGCAATTGCTCGCTGCAATGATGAGTTGTTGTCGGCAGCGTTCCCCATTAATAATTTCACCCGGCCATTCTGATCTCAGCAAATGCAGAATATTACCTTGGCGTCATGGATATTCGGCTTTGCCATTGATTTAATTGTTTGGCTAGGTGTAACATATGATTTTTTGAGTTTAGGGTTATTGTAATGGATCCATAATTAAAATTATAAGAAGCTTAAACTTTTAGTTTAATATATGCGTGTGTATTAGATGCATAATATTAACAGTACTGAAGAGACATGCATCAAAATTACATTTCGAATATGCGTACCGATATTTTGTTTATATGTATTTTTATCGCTAACATCGTCCAACACTTAAGCGGAAACGGTGGCCAATGTCGCTTGATTGTAGGCATTCGAACATATACAATTATTTATGTTTGCAATATTTTGCAGAAATTTTTCAATGTCTAGGCGTTGCATCAACAAATTTGCAACATAAAATTTGTATCTTGACCGGCAAGCAACTACGTTACGCAGCAAATGTAACAACACATATACTTGGCACTTGAGTTGCTTTACTTTTGGGAGTTCAATAACACTTGTAATACTATTTGTGTGTATTTAAGTGATTTGGCGAGTTTCAATTATCTACACAAATTTCTCTCTATTAGACTTGCAAAATATATGTAGGTAAGGTTTGGGAAATGTTCTTTACAACATTTTGTTGCAGTAAGTTTTAGTAAGTCTGGCAAAAACATTTCCAAAAAACATTTTTGCGCTTATATTTTAGTTAGATGTGGAAAATATCTTCACAGGGTCGCTTAATTGTTAGGAAATTAGACCATAGCTAGACTAGCTATTAAGTTCAAACTGAGATATCATGATGTTGAACTCAAACTTTCGGACATTTGAATGTTTATGTAGCAGTTAAGGGTACTGCCTAAAATATTCGGACTGTCATTATTCCATAGAAAGTTTCTTTCTTTCATTTCCTTACGCACTTTTAATTGAATAAAAATAACCTCCTATATTAGCTATCTGATCCTATTAATTGAAGTAAACCATCTACACAATACAGGGGCTATACAAACTCCAATTGATTTCCAAACTACTGAACCGAATATATTAATAAGACGGGATTCGAAAAATAATTATTATTAAAGCATTTAATTTTATGCAAAAATAATGTATTTATTTTTACTACACCTAATATACAGAATTTTTCTATAATTTTATCGAAGCCAGTAAAGTGCATCTGTGAACTTTGAGTACGTAATTAAAAACATTAACCTCTCAGAACGATAACTATTATTTATGGGGAAATAAGAAATGGCTAAAATGTGAGGTATTGGAGTAAAATAGAGTTTACCATAAAATTAAAACAACGCAGTTTGAAGCAATCTTTGAAATAAATGAGGTAACCATACACACAAACTCCGCATAATTTAAAATTATTTTGCATTCAAATTAAGAGTTTTTAGTTATCTTGGCTACTAATTTAACTCTTTAACAAAATACAGGAGCAATTTTAAAATATCATGAGCATGAATTTGTGCCTATTGTTTTCTAGCCGACACAATTATTTTTAGTACTCTTTATTGATCCCAATCTACTATATTCAGGATTATTTTCTATGTGATATATATGACGAAATAGGACTAACTCGAAAAGTATGACTGAAAATATCGAACAATTTATAATATATTTCAAAGAAATGAAGAGAATATCTTTTCCGGATAATATTCTGCCATGATGATAAAAATGAATTAAATCGATTCAGTGCATCTCTTTTATATGCTATATAAGAATTTCCAAACTGACAGTTGACTTTATAAGCGTATATATCGGATATTTCAGCAAATTTAAGTCAACGAGTAATCTTGGTTATAAGGAAAATAGTTGTAAACGGTTCATGAATTATTCCGACCTCCATATACATTTAAATTATCCGAACCCCCATATACATATTTCGTTATTCTACTCGACTTTATTACATATACAAGGTATGACTATTTCAATAATATTATATGTGAAACTTGAAACGAGTTTATGAAAGTATTGACTAAAAATTTAAATTTTTTGTTCAAATGGCTATAATTTTTGAAGGTATCAATATTTTCAAATTTCCCTGCATACTTCTTTGAGTGTTGTCATGTAGATTAAGGACGTTTTTTTATTTTGTTCCGGTACGACTATTGTGGTTGTTCTCGCCGCAGCGCGATGACTTTTTTATTATAGTCAACAAAATTAACCGAAAATAATAACTTTTCATCAGCTCGATGTTCAAACTTGATAAATGTTTTATTAGTTCAGTGCATAAATGAATAGATCACGAAAAAAATTAATGAATCTGCACTTGATTTTTCACTCACTAGAGTAGTCAGACACCTTAAATGGAAAAGGTAAATGCCATCAATCCAAATTTCAAATGTATTTAATATAATAAAAATTCGCCTTTTCCAGTTGAATTAGCGCTGTGTATGATAGCCGCGAATATTTAGGTAAAATAATTTCCGGCACTTTGCTGACTTTTCTTCCATCTAACCAATAATATAAATAAATAATAAATTTCGTCCATAGACTGAGTTTACACATCGCAAATTGGATCAATAGAAAA